GCAAAAGTAACTTGTATAAAAAATACAATTAATCCATTTTCAGATAAGTGTTTTTATAAATGTGATTTATGAATATTCATTTATTTTCTTTATTAATGTTTAAAAGAGTTCATGTTAAATTAACTTAATGTATTTAAGAAGATATAATAGTGATTTCTTTAAAAATAGAAAGTTCAATAAAACTAATTTTAGCAACAATTATTCATGCTTGCAGCAAAAAATAGTGCTCTCTTCAAAAAAAAAAAAATAGTGAAAATCGTGTGTTATTCACAAAGTTGAAACAATATGAAATTATTTTTCTATATTTCTATTATTTAGGGTATGATTGCACAACACTTTATTTAACAAAAAATGAAAATTCATGGTCAAGTAACACGCATAATTACCGAGATTCATTTCGTGAGCTTTTGAAAGAACCAATGAGCTTTTTTGCTTGCATGTCAAGCACATATGGTTAAAGCTGCAACCACAAAAGACTTTTCTTCCCATAGACTTCCATTCAGACCGGAAACGCAAGCTCGTGCGACAAAGTTCGCAGTTCGTTGCTTTGGAAAGTTGTGAACTCTGACCTGCCAAATTGAAGATTAAAACATGACCTCTTTGTACAGAAATTTTAAATATGGACCAATCTCTCGCCTTTTAACGTCTAATCATCTTGTTTAATCCCGCCCTTTTCGCAGCACCGTATGACAGAATCTCGCACTCTCAAACTGTAGTGTGACCTCGGCATAAGCCTTTGTTTGTTCACTAATCAGTGTTTTTATGTGAAAAATAGAAACATTTTATGGATTTTGACCTCTTATTCACAAACCAGTAGTATTGTAATGCCTGAAAAATGCAGGCCTTTAAAAACAACTTTTAAAATACATGATTTTGAATACATTGCTATGTTGTCATTGTCTTCATGTAAACTACAAATATGCAAATTTGTGAATGTCAGAAAAACAGTGTAAAAACACTATGCACCTTTGCAGTCCTGTAGTTTGCCAAAGTGACATCACAACTTACTGGACTGGCCTAGCATGAATAGTGTTTATATATATATATATATATATATATATATATATATATATATATATATATATATATATATATATATATCCACTGATCATCCTCAATTTTACCTCCAATGTTTTGTTCAATACAGTACAAAATGTTTACTATAATTTTGGAATATGCTGGGTACTTTGTAACACATCTATGTCAGAAAGAAAACTATTTTGCCATGAAATTCCACACACATTTGTTTTCCTAGCAGTAACTTTGATCAATAGACTCGCACTGAGGCCCTTTGAAATAAAGGATTTGTTCAAATGTGTCTGTCATTTTTCCACAGATGTGCTATTTGCTTTCTTGGAGTGTTCCTGATCACCAAAAACAAGAGAAAAGCCAAATCCTTTGAGCCGTATGTCACTATGGACATGGCGAAAGGTATGTACCCAAATACTTTAGTGTTTTGGTTTTTTTTTTTACCTTCTTTATAGTATTTCAAAAGGAAGCTGAGAATGTATTTTTCTTAAAATTTGTCTCAAGAAGAAAAGGCCAACTGATGTCTTATCCAATAACTCATAATAATTTCTATTTTCAGTTGTCTATTAGAATAAATATAACAGTAGTTTATTGTACACACAGGTATTCCTACCATTCATAACAAAGGCTGGGCTGTGCAGCCTGATTATAATGGCTCATTTTCTTATGGTGCGCTGGAAAACAACGACAGCGTGGCTCCTGTGACGCTTCCAGTGAACCATGAGCAGTCCGTCTCTCCTGGCCCTGTTAGCTCATACCAACCATCAGAACTGAAGAAAGACTGAACCTGAATGTGTCTGTGCAAGTGCAATTAATGCTACTCTGTTTAGCCATTACTGGTTTGACAGCACTTTAAAAAAAAAGGTCTGAAACACTGGATCATTTCAGAACTGTACTTCTCTAGACTGATCCAGAGTCAGGAAAGCAAGCTCTAATCGGCTTATGCTAGAATGCAAATAAGGACTTTCCTTGGTGGCGTTGAGTTTAACCATGAGAGATACTGGCATGTTGTTATTATATGACACTCATATCTGCACTTATGCCTCACTGACATTGATCACTCCTGGTTTCCAATAGTTACAAAGCTAATAGTACTACCATTAGAAGCTAAATATACCTCAGAAGATGTTTTGGATTCTGCTACTACTTTGTACTAAAGATACTGGAGCCTGTCCAGCTTTAAAGGCCAAAGACTTATGTAGACCAATGTGCATTACACATTTCCTTGCTATATACTGTATATTCATATGGTACTGGCTCAAAATCATGTACAAACTCATACATTTCTCATTTTGCTCAAGTAAGGGGTTAAATGTGAGGTATTATTTATTCCCTGTGCCTATCTAAAGCATACCAAATAGGTTTTCTGTAAAAATATTTATGTTTATGGATAATAACCCAGCAAGTAGTTTTTTGTTTTTAAAAGATGTCTAATACATGTCTAATAGACGTCTAAATTAATAGACGGCTAAATTTGGGCTGTCAGTAAATAGACATCTAAGAACAGGCCAAAACTAGACGAGTCATCAAATTAACATGAATGAATGAATGAATGAATGAATGAATGACTACACATATGAAGTCTGTCTATTTGACGACTAGTCAAGTTTTGGCCTATTTTTAGACGTCTATTAGATTTTCACTGACAGCCCAAGTTTAGCCTTGTTTTAGTTAAGTTGTCTACATTTAGATGTCTATTAAACACAAAATTGTTTGCTGGGACATTGTATTTCGGGATACTGCTGGTGGTTGAACTGTACAGACGCCTTCTGTAAAGCTTTAGGAAACACTGGTAGATGTTTTATAAATATTATTGCTATGACTGGTTAAATATTTTATCATTGATTTGGTTTGTGGCCATTTTTCAATATTTAATAAGTAATCATTAATGCTGTATTTTACCATTGACAAGACTTTTTTGGAGAAATAATGGAAAACTTGACCAGTCTCCATCAACACACTGAGTTATGTTCAAGTGCAATTACTGCTGTGTTAAAAGGAATGTTATTGGATTAAATGTTAACAGAGATCATTTTAAGCATTCCTTTTCCTTTTTATACTATAACCATTTCACAATGACAATCATAATGTCTATAACCAAAATAAATAATGAAGTAAGAACTATGGTAAATTTTGACTGCTTGTTATTTATCTGTACTTGAGTAGTTTATCGCTGTTATTACTTGACAAGTGTATTAAAACCATGAATCTGTCATAGTGTTGTGTAGTGCTGAGCAATATGAAAAACATCTCAAATACTGATTGATTTTTAAATGCAGAACGAGTTTTGTGTTTTCACCGCCACATGGGCTATATGCACATGGACTTTTAATTTCAGTCAGCCAGGTCAAGGGGTTCCGGTTAATTTTCATCTCATAGAAAGTAGTGATCCTCACTGCCTGGCTGAGATACAATATAAAGTGTGTATCAGATCAAAAAAGTAGCACTGCATTAATTTAGATTTTTCCATGCCATGTCTTTAAAATGTAATTTTACCCCAGTACTTTCAATGGAGTTTCTGCGCTAGCCGGCTGCTATATAACTGAATGTATTTGACTTGCATTACAACGTTTATGCTCTTAAAGGAAATTGTAAATAGTCACATAAAGCTTTCACTGGAAGCTATCATTGGCTGAAAAACACTAGCTGTGCATATAGCCCATTAGCGTCGAGTGACTTTCCATAAAAGGAATTTGAATATTTCAAAGAATATTATTATATTCATCATAATTTATTTATTATTAAAATTATATTTTCATGCTTGATGCGCTTTGGTACAGACTGCATGTGCCAATCAAAATTAAAAGCTGTCAAATTAAATAAACTTGGCAGCCTCTGAAAACATTTCCTCACATTGTGTGATTAGCCTATATTGCACCCCTGCTGAAAAATCCAGCTTAAACCAGCCTAGGCTGGTTGGCTAGTTTTAGCTGTTGACCAGCCTGGTTTTAGAGGGGTTTTGGCCATTTCCAGCCTGGTCTTAGCTGGTCAGGCTGGAAAATGACCAGCCAAATCCAGCTTGACCAGCCTGGTTTAAGCTGGATATAGCTGGTTTTGGCTGGACTCCCAGCTTGGCTTGGCTGGTCAAGCTGGTTTTATCTCGTCATCTCCCAGCCTGACCAGCTAAGACCAGGCTAGAAATGGCTGGAAACCAGCCTGGCAGTGGCCAAAAACTCTCTAAAACCAGCCTGGTCGACCAGCTAAAACCAGCCAACCAGCCTAGGCTGGTTTAAGCTGGATTTTTTAGCAGGGACATCCATAAACTGCTTTGAAGAAACTGCTACATGAAAGATGACGACACTTCTAGTGGTGAATAAAATACATAGTGATTCTAACTACATATGATATAGGTTCATTAATTTTCTTTTCGGCTTAGTCCCTTTATTAATCTGGGGTCGCTACAGCGGAATGAATTGCTAACTTATCCAGCATTTAATATTGTTTTAAGCCCTTCATACCCTTTCAGCTGCAACCCATCACTGGTAATCACATACACTACGGCCAATAATCTAATTCACTAATTTACCACGTGTTTAGACTGTGGGTGAAACCGGAGCACCCAGAGGAAACCATAGACTGGAGGAAACCCACGCGAACACGCGGGGAGAACATGCAAACTCCACACAGAATTGCCAACCGAGCCGGGGCTTGAACCAGCGAACTTCTTGCTGTGAGCCGATCGTGCTACTCACTGCGCCACCATGACGCCCCCATATAGGTTCGCTTTGTGTTAATTCCTGAAAATGTGTGTCAAATAAAATCCATTATACATTCTGATATGGTAACAGGGCGACCGTTTAGCGTTGTGTCCTCTGTCACACGTCATCATTTCTGGGTGTCAATCTTCCGCAAACACGATTCCTATTGGCTGGTTATAAGATAAACCTGCATGTCATTGGTCATTCTTGACTGTCACTTGTCGTTTTTGATGGCATCCGATGAATTTACTGTTTATTTGAGAGAAAAATACACGTATTTCTAATTGATTTTTACTTATATTCTCCGCCTGAATTTATGTTTATGCCCCTCGGATCCTAAAGTACATGGCCTGTCGCTCATGCAACGGTTCTGAATCAGTTGCAAAATAACAGGTAAGTGATCTGTACAACTTACATTAACGTTACATTCTTGCCATAAGATTTCTCTCTGATGGACTTTTTGTTCAGAAATTTAGGTCAAATGTCTGACTTAATCAACTAAAACAGACGTTTAAATCCCCCTCGTCACTTGTATGTTGTCAATGGCATCTTGGTAGTGTAAACATGCTAATCGTTTGATTTGAAATGTACGTTAACGTTAAAGCAACAGTGATGTTTCCATCCCCCCTCACTCCCTAAATCATCAATTATGTCATTTGTGTATTTTGCCACCTTGAATATACAGTTAGCAAATCGCACATTTGCAACCTCTCCAGGTTAGCGAACACTTTCTATTTTAGGTACACGTTTATAATAAGATTATACCACAACACACTCTATTTAGCCGTGTATCGTCCACCAGGTGGCGCGATTACACAACAGCGAGTAGTTGTTAGATTCTGTCAGCTTCATGTTCCCCAACAGTTCCCAAACACTTGACTTCATTTATTATTTCTTCATTGAACAAAGTTCTTTTTCATACGTTACGTTACAACAAAAGTGAACAGTGACATCACGAACTTTGGCAATTTTTGTTATTAATAAGTTAATTAATAAATTATTAATACAGGATGAAAGGACCTTTCATCATGACATTCAAAAATTTCAGAATACTAAATCTGAATCACATTTCTGTCTCTACATTGAAAATCTGTTCACCTAAAACTGTGATGCTTCAAAACAATTATAAAAAATAAAAAGTAAATAAATCAAATGATTTAATCCTAGTTCTAAATACACAGTCAATATGAACAAAGTTTACTGCGTTTAAAGATAAAGCATGCTTACCAAGATTCATTTTGTGAGCTTCTGAAAGAACCAATGAGCTTTTTACTTATGCGTCATATAGTTAAGCCTTTGTTTGTGTTCACTGATCAGTGTTTATATTTGAATTAACGGCTAGATTAAATCTGTTTATCATATTAAGCAGGTGATTTCAGAAGACATTTTTTAGAGCATCATACTGCTTGACTAATGTGGATTCATTTTATAGATGTTATTTTTTTTGTATTTTTCTTTAATATAAATATCTTTTAAAACACTATAATTTTGAGTGAATAGACCTTCAAAAGATATGGACCAAAATTTTCATTCTTTATATGTGTTGGGCGAATGACCATGATGACAGAGGTTTAATTTAAACTGAAGTAACCTCAACTAACTTCTTAAATTATTAATCATCAGATACTTTGAAAACTAAACACACAAAATGGCACAAATTTAAGTCTTTACAAATATTTAAGGGATAGTTCTCCCAAAAAAAAAAAAAAAAAAAAAACTGTCATCATTTAGTCACTCAAGACTACGGCCAAACAAAATCTGCGGACATTTTTTGCTATTTCTGCAGATTCATGCGGAATGATTTTGGGAGTATTGTAACTAAAAACTTAATATATGAAATAAAATAATAATAATAATATTTTTAACTTTTATTTAATGTTTACAATGGAAATCCAATTAGATCCACTTATTTAGTAAACAAAGAAAGTCTCTCATATAATATATCTACTAAAACACAGACAATATTACTTTATAAACTGTATTGTAAATAAACCATATAAACAATTTCATATTAGTCAATAATATTACTCAAATTAATTAAATGAATAAATATTAATGTGCACACATTTACACAAGTAAATAAACTCAATGATAGGCTAAAAATCTGTGGAAATCTGCATATTTCTGCTGGCACAGATTCCGTGTGGGCCTACTCATGACTTATTCCAAACCAGTTTGATTTTTACTTTCTGTTGAACAAAAAAGTAGATATTTTGAAGAATGTTGGAAACCCTTAATCATTGATGGAATTTATTTTTACAACTTTGGATGTCAGTAATTACAGGTTTCCAACATTCTTCAAATATCTTCTTTTCTGTGCAGTTGAAGACCAGAAAGCTTACGTAATCTGAAACAGTAGTGGCGCCCATGATCCAAAATAAATGTACATTTTTGTCATATTTCACAGAGGTATCATTTACATTCTATTAAGGCATACAATGACAAATAACAATAAAAACTGAATGTGTGGTTTGTGCTAATGTCTTCTTTTGGTGGGGCAGGGAATAATGCGTGAGGGTGAGAAATTATGGAGCAGGAACTCGGAGGGTCACAGCAGTGATCCTGAAGAGGATGAAGAAGAGATGGCATTCGGAGACACAGAGGACGACTATGAGGAGATGATGGACTTGAGTGATTTACCTACGGCTCTGTTTGCCTGCAGCGTTCATGAGGCTGTGTTCGAGGATGACCGATACAGGGTGAGAGCACATAACATAGAGATTACATATACATATAAAACATTTAGGAATCCTGTACTGCCAATATCAGAGATAAAAAATTTAATTTACCTTTAGAAATGTATTTTTTGAAAAGAAAAAAAAACTGTTATAAGTCTACCCATGGCCAGATTTCTATTGACCTTATTTTGCAATGTGGAAGTGCAATTGTTTTTTATAACTTCCCATTCATTTGCCTGTGGGAGAAATGACAAGGAATAATAAATGGCAGAAAACAGTCAAACAACTTGCTCTACAAACAAGTGTCTTCATGACTATACGTAAAAATCTAAATAATATAATAAGAAAATATCGGTTTGCAACATCAAGAAGCTAAATGAGCAGTTTGTAATGTCTAAAAATCAATGGTAGCTAATGAGAACGGAAGTGTCAAGCCAAAAATAATCCAATAGCTGCATTCCCTCGTACGTGAAAAAGAAGGTCAGAAGAATTGCCATATTTTCATAAGTTGCTCACCTAAGATATCACCTCAGATATTTTCATGTCATAATTGAATGTACAAATTTTTATGCACAGTTTGATTGACAGCAGTAGTTCGAGAAACAAAGTTGTTCAAAATGACGAGATCAAACATAGTATATTGAACATTGTGTGCATGCATAAAACAACACATGAAAAGAGGTGTACAATTTGATAGCAGTACCCAGTATCTGATTTCTTTAAAATTTTAAATACACCTCTAAGGCTATGAGCCAGTTTCTGATCGGTTTTCATCAAATTTGTAAAACGTGTGTTCAATGTTTATTGGTTTGATGGCTTAGACTAGGCAAAATAAACTAGATAGGTTTGAATTTTTTTTAATTTATCATTATTATTATTATTTTTTTAAATATCTAATGTATCATAAATTATTATTTATGATAATATAAATTGGGGTGGGGGGTGGGGGGATACATCCCCCTCACTTTTAGAGACAGACTATTTAAAACCAGATAATCAATAATAAAGTGAAAATAAAATTTTGGAACTTGTTCCGCTGTCCCTGCCACTTTTAAAATGTCCGCTAAACGTCTTGTCATTTGACAAATAAACTTGCTTTAGACTTGACTTTCATTATATGGACAGCTGAAACATTCTTCAAAATATCTTCTTTCGTGCTTAAGTTTGAAGCAAAGTTCATTTTTGTGTGAACTATTGCTTTAAGGGGTCTGTGTGAGCTTGGGAAAAGACATTTTGGGATAAAAGGCTTTCGGTTCCACACAACACTCAGCACCTCAGGCTTTGAGTGCTTGCGAGGTCTCTTTATCTTTTTCAGCAAACTCTAGTCTTCCAAATCGGGCGAGTTCAAAGCTAATGGAGGTCTTGTGAGCAGTACATTTTAACCTACATTCAGAAGGCAGTACTTTCAAGCCCTGAGGACAATGTCTGATGTTCGCGCTGCGTTGCTTCAGCGTTCTTGGAGTATTTTTGCTGCTTGTTAAAGCTGTAACCCCTTACCTGAAGAGTATCGGGGACTGAAAAGAGCTTTTACTTTCCTTGTGGTCGAGGAGATAAGTGGAGAAGTGATTTCTCTTCAGAATTACTGGCTGAACATCAAGCGTATCTGCTTCCTTCTGAAAACCTCTTGAGCTTGCCTAAAAATATTTAAACAAACATAATTATTGTGTTGAACATCTTGTTGTTATGATCGCAGTCAGCAGTAGACAAAACAAGATATTCTGAAAAATGTTATAAACCAGCAGTAAGTTAATAATATGAACAAAAAATACTATGGACATCAATGGCTATGGGTTTCTAGCATTCTTCAAGATAGCTCAACAGAAGAAAGGAACTCAAACAGGTTTGAAGGAGTAAATGATGACAGAATTTTCTATTTTGGTTGAACTATCCCTTTAATTACCTTGCATTCTTAGGCATCATTTTACACATTTGTTTTTCAAATTGTTTTTTTGTGAGTTTCCCTTGTGATGTTAGTCATCGTGTTTTTTTTTTTGTTTTTTTGTTTGCCCAATCTCTTAATAACTTCTTTGCAAAGCCTTAGTTTGTGCTGAAGTGTTTACACATTGTAAAGTTCAGACTAAAATGATCAAGAACACTGATTTCTGACTTAGAGGAAGATTAGGTTAAGTTAAGAACTTTCCATTGCTTTAGGTGTATAATAATAATATTTTTCCAACTTGTGCCTCGGGGTTTAACAATTGAAGATTTTTGTTTATGAAGTTTAGGTATAGTAAGCAGTTAGCTTAGAATATTTGATGGTATTTTAGATTTCAGGATGTTTTTACGGTCAGTAATAAATTTTAATTTTGAAAAATATTTTTTAAATAGCTTACCCATTTAAAAAAGGAAAAGTTACAAAAATTGAAAAATAGAAGTGAAAAAAAAATGGAAAATTGGTTGTCAAAAAATAAACCTAACCTTAAGGACAGTTTTAATAACAAGTTACTTTTAGAGAGTAAATTTCATTTCGATTTTTAAATCCACTGCCACATGTTTTGACTTCATATACAGTTGAAGTCAGAATTATTAGCCCCTTATTATTAGTTTATACTGCAGGATTTTAGCCTCAAAATCACAGGCAAATCGGTGCAAATCTGCACGTAAGCAACAATCACACAATGTGAACTATCAAAGACGCGATCTGAGAGAATTTGAATCGCCGACAGCTCTAGATAATTAGCATGCCAAATATTCAAAATCATGCTGTGTGAAATGAGTTTTGACTGAAAATAACAACGCCGATCACCTACAGCCAATGAGAGAGCAGCATTCACTAGTGTGAGAACCTGCAGGCCAGTGGGAGGCTGGGCGAGAAGTTAAAAGTGCTCATTTTCAGTTTATTTGGACCCAAGAAATGGATTAAAAACTAGTGTAAATTTGGCAGGAGGACCTGTGTCTGTTTGACGTGTCATTTGAGCAATACCACAACCGGGTCAAAAAAAAAGTTGAGGAGAAATTGCCAATTCTCTTCAAACCCAGGTGAGCTTATATGTACATTTTTTACCCCATTAATGTCTTCTTTCTTGTTAATAACAAAAGATATACTAAGTGTTTTTGGTTATAAGACGTGGTTTAGACTACTTTCAAAATCACACAGTCTGAACTTGGCATAGAAAATCTTGCTATCAGAAATATTATGAATTTAAATTTTCATGTACAAGGCAGAAATAAACAATGCTGATGCAGTAAAAGTTCAAGAAAGCAACTTAAATATTGTTATAGTGCAAATCAGTCAACTAATTTTAATAATGTTTGTTCACTGACAACCCATTAACAGACTAAATATTAAAATTATCATATTAAAGCAAATGTATGGGTACACTTCAATGTAAAGCTATAACTAATAATATTATTTAATAATTCAAAACCTTTAAAATTTATATAACAAAAAAATTCAAATTTATATGATATAAATAAATTATTTGCAGCAAATATGTGATGCACAGGAACTGGTAGTGCCTTTGTTGCATCAGATATGTATGTCAATTTACTCACACCTAGTCAAGTTGGGGTTTGAGAACCCACAGAATAAAGTGTGTAGTGTAAGTTACCATAGCAACAGAACCCTATCAAAACTAAACAACCCTCTCGAGCCTTGCAAACTCAGAGTATGCTTAAACTAAATGAGAGCTTACAAGGGTATAAACAAATTCACTCTGGCCACAACAAAAACACACCTCTCGCTTCTGGCAAACTATAATCCCAACTGTGATGTGACTATTGAATATGCACATATTGTGATATCAATGCTGAAGCAATATATTGTGCAACCCTATTTTGTGTGTTTGAATAGTATATGGGGTCGTTATCCTTGGAGAAAATATGGATAAAACAGTGAGGGCTAGAGGTTACTCATGTCATTACTCCATGACTTCCCTGATCGTAAGTGTGATCTTGTCCTAATGAGCACAATTTTCCTGAGCAGTCATGAACTGCCATAAGCGATGACTGAGTGACAGTGAAATTAAATTTTGACAATCGTTTATGTTGAGACCGCTATTCTAAAATCACACTTTTCTGCTGTGAAAATGCACTCTCTATCAAAAACAGTGATTTGAGTGTGATTTTTGTCCTGGAGTGGAGCTGGGAGCATCTTTGTGGGCAAACAGCTGGCCTTTACTTCTGCTTCAGAAACTGGAGCTCTCTTGCAAAACCCCCACCGACCAGAAAATCTCATTTGCTTTGTGCGAGTGAAGCTCTGTTTTCCTGCTTGCTAGACACACACACACATACACACTTCATAATTCTTTCATTTGGTTGCGTCTGGCAGCCTGGCCTTGTTGTTTCATTAAGACTGTTGACCTGCTTTGGTGGCACGTGCCTCGGCCGTCCTGCGCTCTCTGTTCACTGTGTTGCTGGATCGGGGTCACGGTCCTGCTCCAGCACTCAGACTCTTCAGATAGGAGTCAAAACAGTGCAGATCAGTCATGTATTCTAAGATTAGATGCTATAAATAGTCGCGTTATGAACTCACCCGAGAGAGCAGGATGTTGGAAGTGATGCATTTGAGAGAAAATGTGCAATGAGTAAAGAAGTATTTACATTCAGCAGTCGCGGAGTTTAATCCTCGGGTCTGTGATTAAATTTCATTATTATACTCATGATAATAAATGATAGAAAATGTGTTATACATTCGTCTGTTGTGCAACAATTATTTAAATATCTTATGGGCAGCAGGGCTGGATTTGTTCATCTAAAAATTTTGTAGAAAAAAATATTGTAAAATGTTATTACAATTTAAAAGAATGGATTCAAATATTCTTTTCTAGATTATTTGACAGGTCAATTGAATTGCATATATTTTAAACTGAAATCTATTTTCTGTCACTTCCCAGCAGGCACACAACGTCATAAGTATTAGGTTAGATTTAGGTTGTGATGTCAGGTGACCAAAATTCAATGTCTAGCCACTTCTAAGGACGTTATTTGGACGTCCAATAACGGTATCTAAAGACGCTGATATTTGGTTGATTTTAGGTTGTGTTGGAAAGTGACTAAAATTCAACGTCAAACCAACATCT